CCCCAGCTTCCCGGTGGCAGGGCATCTTCCTCAGCTTCACGGAGACAGAGGGAGGCTGAGCTGCATCTCCTGAGCTGCCCAAACCGCTATCGAGAAGCCGACAAATCCAGCTGCAAAAAAAAAGTTGGACGCTGGGGGTTTTTTTCCCCTCCCTGCTTTTTTTTCTCCCCCCTGAGGAGTTCAGCATCCCAGGGCCCACGGGGAGGTGAAGCGGAGCAGCGGCGTGGGACCCCGCGGGGCTGGAAGGCAGAAGGGTGAGAGGTTGCGGGGGCAGAGCAGGACTCCCCCTGCCCTGGAGAGACACCTCACTCCACCATGGCTGAAGGTCCCGGGAGCTGGAGAGACTTCACCCCGGTCCATGGGGCCACGGCAAACCTCCAGGGAGCGGTGGACGCAGAAAGCACCGGGAGAGGACAAGGCTCGGGCCTCCACGGCGTGGATTCAGCTTGGGAGGAGATGAGAGGGGAGGTGGAGGAGCAGTTCCTGCACTTGGCCATCAGAAAGCAGGTCTCCTACAGGTAGGACCCCCCGGGTCCCCAAACGCTGGGGCTGGGCTGGGCTGGGGTGAAGGAGTGCCCTGTCCCAGGGGCATCTCCTTCCTACGGGGTCAGGGCTGGTTCTTCCCACCAGAAACTATCTGAGGACAGGGACAAGGGGACCGGTTAACCCCCTTCCCTCCCACCCATGCAACAGCCCCTCTCCCCAGCACCAGTCCCCTTGTCACCCTCACAGACCCCCCCCTTATTTTTCCTTCCACCCAACTCCCCTTTCCCGTCCTGGGGCCATGGTGCTCCCCAGGTCCCTCTCCCCCAGGAGAGGTCCAGGCAGCTGTGCCCAACAGCCCCCCACAAGCTCTGACACGGGGCCGTGGGCTTATTGCTCTCCAGTGTGCTGGATGCGAGGGACTTCTGATAACATTGGTTCTCCTCCTCTTCTTCTTCCTCTGCCCCCGAGGAAATTGTCCCCTTGCTTGACTCCCAGGTCCAGAAACCTTGATCCCACCTCCAAGCAGGAGCCCCCTCTCAGAGGTGCCAAAAGGCAGCTCCATCTCCCACCTCTGGCTGGGCTGGTAGCGCGGGGGTCCATCTTTGCCACAGGACGAGGATACGAGGCTCGAGGCTTGCAAAGATCCGTGGGTCACAATGTCTTTGTGGAGAGGAGCGAAGCACTGAGCCGTTGCCACCTTGTTGTGACAGGGCTGGCCATTGACCAGTGGCCGGGAGAGAGAGGAGCTCTCTTGGCTGGGTCTCTACTGCCAAGAAGGGGCTTGGTGTGGGGTGATGGCTTGGTCTGACATGGGTTTTACAGACCTCTGCTGAGCTCCCTTCCCCTGCCCACACCCACGGATGAAAGGAAATGCCTGACCATGCCCTGTGGTGTGTGTCCTGGGCCAGGACTAGTTTTAAGTCGAGGGTCTGACGTTTTCCCTGCAGCACCTCCTCCAAAACCAGCCTCCTACCCCTTGGTCAGTGGAGTGCACCTTCCCCCATGGTGCGACCAGGCTTCTCCCCACAGAAGGGGAGAAGGAAGGGATTCCACTTCGCTTGTCCCTGTGAAATATCACCCAGCTCTTCAGGCACTGTCTTCCAGGGGGATCCCAACCTGCACCCTTCACACGCACTCCAAAGCGTCAAGGGAAATGGGCGCAAGAAGGGAGCTCTTAAAAGGGTGGCTTCTCAGGCTTTGCCTCCCTTGGTACCCAAGCAGCTGTCAGGAGAACATTTCCCTTCATCTCAACAAATCCTCCCCATTTTGCAGTCTAACGGATAACTCCGAGCTGCTCAAAACGGGCACATCAGGATCTCTTGATCCCCGCTGTGCCTCCCGAAACGCTGCCAGCCAAATCGTACCTACCAATGGGGTTACAGCCACTAATTAGAGCAGAACGAGGGAATTAGCAAAGCAAGAGGGCACCTTCTTTACAAGTCACCTTCAGCCTCACTCGGTGAGGCTGGGTCTGCTCCAAATGCCCCCCCAGCCAAGCTCCTCCAGGCCAAGCCAGGCTTTTGCCCATTTAGGGTCACATTTCTAAGAAGCCAGTGCACCATCGATACGGACATGCCCCGAACAAAAGAACACCAACAGAACACGGGCTTCGTTTTTTTCAGAGACAAATTATTCCCCGGCTGTTCTCTTGTTACCAGGCCAACTTGGAGGAAAAAAAAAAAAAAGAAAAGAGAGAAGAATTGGCTTTTGCAGCTCGCCACTGCTGAGCCAGCCACCGGCGGTACATGGCAGCAGCCTGATGGATACGTTGGGTTCATTACAGAAGGACACGTGCTACCAGGGCTCTCAGGAGAACATCCCCGCTCTCCGAGCCTGGTGTGGTCCCTCTTGCTGTCACCGTTTGGGACTGCCCTAGCAGTTCTCACAGGGATCCATCATGGGATCGGCAGGCTTCAGTCCTGCTTCCTGGCAAGGAGCCTGGGATTTTGGACACCTTCTGGGGCACAACCAGATGGTCACGCTTCCTGATGTCCCCCAGGTGCTGAGGGCTCATTAACAGTGATGGCAACTGGCTGGAAGCTGACCCAGCCCACCTCAGCCTCAACAAATCTGTGTTGATTTTCTAACCTGGTGGCTGAAACCAGGCTTAGAGGTGAGCAGGGTGGAGGTGGATCTTCTTGAGCCCAGGAGAGGAGACAGTACCCTTCCAGAGCTTGGCTTGCTGGAAATGCTGCTTCCTAGAAAGCCTGTGCCTGTAAAAGTGAGGATGGGGTCTGTAAGGCAGCACTGAGCTGCCCGTGCACCATCCCCACGTGTCCACACAGAAGGAAATCCTACCCAGGGCACTGAAAAGACCTTCTCCTGCCTGTGACCCAGGTAAGTAGGTGACCTGGCTCAGCTGAAGGGTGCCTTGGGAGGACAGGACCGACCCAACCCTGCCACACAGCCACTCTGTCCCCAGCCAGTCTCTGCCTGCTCTTCCCAGGTCCTCGGGGAGTTCTGATGGCATCCTCCAAGGGAAGGGTGACCCCCGTAGTGACAGACACATGAAACATCCTGCAAAGAAGGGTGGGCAGAGAGAGATGCAGAAGCCTGAGCAATCCTTTGCCTCCCCTCATGCAGGCATATCCTGTGATGTCTCCTCTTCTCCAGACAGACAAAATCCAGACATACTGCCTCCATCACAGCCCTACGGTTTGGCACATGGCTAGAAAGGGTCAAAATCCACTGCCCGGCCAGGGTGAAGGTGGGTCTCATAGCCCATGGCCAACGGGGGCAACCCCCGGCCAGGGTGAAGGTGGGTCTCATAGCCCATGGCCAACAGGGGCATCCTCCGGCCAGGGTGAAGGTGGGTCTCATAGCCCATGGCCAACGGGGGCAACCCCTGGCCAGGGTGAAGGTGGGTCTCATAGCCCATGGCCAACAGGGGCATCCCCTGGCCAGGGTGAGCCCCAGGGTGGGGGCAGAGAGGCATCCACCCCCCGGGTGGGTGGTGAAGAGCAGCGAGGTGCCACAGGTCCTTCTGCACCAGCGGGGTACCTGCTGCTTCCCCCTTCCCACAGCCTGTTCCTGCCCGTGGGTGTCAGGAGGACGTGCAGCAGGGTCATGGATCCATGCGGGGAGCTCTGACAAGCTCCCGGGCAGGTCTCCATCCCAGCCAGGGAGGGGGAAGCCCGCTGTGGGGCTCACCCAGCAGCACTCGGGCTTTCAAGGGGAACAAAACCCCTGTGGGGGCTGGAGGGGCTGAGTCACACAGCGAGGAGGGTGCGGGGCTCCCCGCGAGTCACGACTGTGCGGGGGAGCGGGCTCGGGGGCTGCCGTGCCCCTGGGAGGCACAAATCCCCCAGCAGGAGCAGGATGGAACGGGGAGAGGTGCCTTCATGACATTTAGGGTCAGACAGAGGTTCAGCAACTCGAACTGGAGGTGCCGGTGGGCTGTGGTTCCCAGGGAAAGGCACAGCCCTTCTCCAGCTCCTGCTGCTTCCCAGGTTGGGGGCAGGAGGCCACTTGGAGGTGATGGGGAGCGCTGGGAAGAGGGATAAGTTGCTCCTGTGGACTCCCAAGGTGATTTAACAGTCAGAGCAGGGCTGAGGACACACTCCAGCTCCCATCGTGTTAGCCCTTCATGGGAAAACACCGGGATTAGGAGTGGTGGTAATGTTTTCTGGATGTGGTACCTTGGCTGTAGGACCTTGCCATGGGTAAGTGGTGCAGGGGGTGGCTTTTGTAGAGCCCCGAAGCTCAGATTTCCCAGTGCCCAGCAGGTAAAGCCTCCGTGTGTGAATCTGGGGCAGAACGAGTCCAAAACAAGGAGCCAGGCACATATGGGAGCTTTGTGGGGATCTCTCCCCCCAGCTGGTATCTGCAGCATGGGGATGGACAATGCTGAGGCAGGCCAGAGCTGGGACTGGGGTCACAAAGTCCAGTCCCAGCCCAGGACAGACAGACGATGCAACTCTCCTGATGGTTGTGGGCAGAGGACAGGAGGGCTTTCTACCTCTGGATGCCAGGATCGGAGAAAAAAATGCCTTAAATTAGTAAAAAAGCAGGGATAATGTGGCCTTCCAAGTGCTGAGGAGCCTGCTGGGAGGAGGGATGCTCTGATCCCACCATACCTCTCCCTGGGTACCACTGCCCAAAGCTGGGGACCCCATCCCTGGAGAGATCTCCTCTGCATCAGAGAGCTGGCCAGAGCAGTAGGTACATGGCTCTGCTGGGGCTGCTACCACAGTTTTCCAGGCTGCCTGACTTCACCTGGCTGCACATCAGGGTGAGATGTGCTGAGTGGCTGAGACCTGGGTCCCCCAGCATCCCTCCCCGGCAGGCAGACACCAGCAGGGCTGGGAGCAGCGAGGGGCAGCCGAGCTGTCACCCTCCCCGGCCTCCAAAGGGTTAAATGCCAGTTTTCCGAGTGTCTCTAAGGTGACACCAGGCAGCATCTCTGCTCTCTCTCCCTGCAGCTCTCCGCAGCCCCCCTCCCCACGCACACACACACACACACACACACACTCACTCACGCTCTTCTCTTTCTGCTTTGTCTTTTGGAGGGCTGCTGCCTACCTCTGCCTACCTCTGCCTGCCTCTCCTGCTCGGCTGCTGCTGCCGGGGACACCCAAGGACCTGCCTGGCTCCAGGAAGAACTCGAAGAAGGCACCTCGGGGCTCTCCTCCTCCTCCTCCTCGCCGGGAGCATGGACCCCATCCCTGGATGTGGTCTCCCCTAAGACTCCCCATCTCCAGCCAGCGCCGTGGCTCGCCGGCTCCTCCGAGGAGCAGCACCCACCACGTCTCCAGGTTTCTCTCCAGCTCTTCCCCAGCTTCCCGGTGGCAGGGCATCTTCCTCAGCTTCACGGAGACAGAGGGAGGCTGAGCTGCATTGCCTGAGCTGCCCAAACCGCTATCGAGAAGCCGATAAATCCAGCTGCAAAAAAAAGTTGGACGTTGTTTGTTTTGTTTTTTTTTTCCCTCCCTGCTTTTTCTCCAACCCCCCTGGGGACTTCAGCATCCCAGGGCCCACGGGGAGGTGAAGCGGAGCAGCGGCGTGGGACCCCGCGGGGCTGGAAGGGAGAAGGGTGAGAGGTTGTGGGGGCAGAGCAGGACTCCTCCTGCCCTGGAGAGACACCTCACTCCACCATGGCTGAAGGTCCCGGGAGCTGGAGAGACTTCACCCCGGTCCATGGGGCCACGGCAAACCTCCAGGGAGCGGTGGACGCAGAAAGCACCGGGAGAGGACAAGGCTCGGGCCTCCACGGCGTGGATTCAGCTTGGGAGGAGATGAGAGGGGAGGTGGAGGAGCAGTTCCTGCACTTGGCCATCAGAAAGCAGGTCTCCTACAGGTAGGACCCCCCGGGTCCCCAAACGCTGGGGCTGGGCTGGGCTGGGGTGAAGGAGTGCCCTGTCCCAGGGGCATCTCCTTCCTACGGGGTCAGGGCTGGTTCTTCCCACCAGAAACTATCTGAGGACAGGGACAAGGGGACCGGTTAACCCCCTTCCCTCCCACCCATGCAACAGCCCCTCTCCCCAGCACCAGTCCCCTTGTCACCCTCACAGACCCCCCCCTTATTTTTCCTTCCACCCAACTCCCCTTTCCCGTCCTGGGGCCATGGTGCTCCCCAGGTCCCTCTCCCCCAGGAGAGGTCCAGGCAGCTGTGCCCAACAGCCCCCCACAAGCTCTGACACGGGGCCGTGGGCTTATTGCTCTCCAGTGTGCTGGATGCGAGGGACTTCTGATAACATTGGTTCTCCTCCTCTTCTTCTTCCTCTGCCCCCGAGGAAATTGTCCCCTTGCTTGACTCCCAGGTCCAGAAACCTTGATCCCACCTGGGGAGACTGAGAAGCGATGCGAAGATGAAGTCAGGGCTGAGGTTGGGGCTTAGGCTGGAAACGTGCCCTTTGTAGGCACCTTGCAGCGAGAGGAGTATCTATCCTGCCTCTTGGTGGGACTCTTCTGCCAGGACTGCTCTTCTTAGGACCCTCGCTACAGCCCAGCCAAACTGGTGGAGGTGAAGAGTAGGTTTCATAGCTCCCATGGAGCTTTTAAGGGAACCATTGCCTAGTGATGCTCAGGTGAGCTCCTCTTCCCAACTCCAGCCATACTGTCCGAAATCCTGCTGGGGTCAGCACCTCCAGGAGCCCAGCTCTATTCTTTCTCTCACAGCGATGATGTGTCTCACCCTCCCCTTTTCTTTCACCGTTTAAGCCCTTCTACCATTCAGTCCTCCTGAACTTTGTAGAATGGGTCTGGGGTGTGAGGAGAAACCCTTTTACCCTGCACCCACCTGGAGTAAAAGTGAGCACTTTGCAGGACTGACCCTGGCTGCTGTGAGGGTCTGGGACTGAGTGGAGAGGAGAGGTCAGGAGCCACCTCCTTACCCTTCTCCTGACCTGGCTTGACCCGGGGGTGGCTCTGTGTCCTCCTGGGCTCAGTGTCACCGTGTCATGCCGTGCTCAGCAAGCACCAGGAGGTTTCCAAGCAGGTGGGAAACCAGCAGGGAGGATCCTTGGTGCCATGGCAGAAGCTGGAAGGGCTCTTCTGCCATCATCCTGGGACTCGGGGACCCCGGGGGAGCAGAGCTCTGCTGGGGGGGCAGATTTTGGGCAGGAGCTGTGGGTCGGTCACCCCCCAACTGTGCTCCTGGGCATAGAGCAGCCCTTCTCCCCCCCCCATCTCGCAAGGGCTGCGGTGGGAACTGTGAGCAAATTGCTCTCTAATACTGCAGTAATGGGAACTAATGGGAAACTGTATTAATGCCTGCAGAGCAGGAGGGGCCCCGGAGCTGACTCATCCCCAGCACTTGTTATTCCTGCAGTGGGTGGCGAGCAGGAGACCTGGGGTGGCCGAGTCCTCCCCGAGGAGCATCCCTTCAGCCTCCCCGTCAGCTGGGGCAACACACAGCCCTCATTTGGTACCCGAGGCACCCGGGAGGGTGTCTGCCCTGATGCCACCGAGGGCGAGGGATTATGGAGCTGAGCAGAGAGGGGCAGAGCAGGATTTTCTCCTCTTCGCTGTCTCCCTCCAGATGTGCACGGCGCTTTTTTGCCGACGGATTAGCCGGCTGCAATTACCCAGCCTCCCCAGGGGAGGAAAGGACCATATTGCAACCTAATTTGATCAGCCTGCCTTTGCTCCAGAATTGTCTGAGGTTGCTGGGGACTGTTTACATCCTGCTCGCCCTTACCCCAGGCAGGCGGCTCTGCTGACATGCTCCAGCCTGTGCCACCCTTCCACAGAGCACCTCTGTCCTCCTCAACCCTCTCCGGGGGTCCCTTTGCAAGAGGCTTTGCTCCATCCAGCCTGGGCTTTGCAGAACAGAGAGGTCTGGCAGGGTCGGAGGGGATGCTGCAGGTACCTGCAGGCCAGCGGTGAGGGAGGAGGTGGTGATTGAGATGAGCTGCTTCCTCCTACCCTCCGTTTCATTTCGGGCAGCCAAGAGAAGGGGAAATGGGAGAGGAAGTGTCGGGGTGGTGATGATGGAAATCTGCTTGTGCTATCCTGCGACACCCACACAGGGTCAGGTCTGGCTGCTCCCTGGGGCAGGTCAGGCTGTGATGGAACCAGTGCCCAGATTTGGGCTGACCTTACATCAGGTAACTCATCAGGTTACTCCTCAGCACAAGGAGTCGGGGTTGGGGGGGGCTGACAGAAAGCCCCTCGCTGTGCTGCCCGGCTCTGGAGGTACTTACCCAACCCTGGTATGGAGTTTGGAGGACCTCCTCGGCGGTCCTGTGGGCATCACAGGTGCCCTCAATGTCAAAGCGAAGGTTGGAGGCCGAGGTCCTCCTGCTGCCAACCTGCCTGTTCCTGCTGGGATCCATTAGTCATCACAAGGGGCAGGCAGCGCGAGCTGCTATATAAAGGTTTTGAAATGAGCAGAAATGATATTAAGCCCATGGAAATAAAGTTCCTTCCATAAATAGCTGCCGCGGTGTATGGAGGCGCCTTGGGCGGGTGGAAGAGAGCTCAGCGCTCCGGTTATATTTAGGGCTTTGAGTAGCAGTTTCATGCCAAGCTTATTAATGATGCTGGCTTGTGCACCAGATTTGCACATTCTGGGACAATTCTCCCAGTAGGGAAATGCCTCTGCAACGCCAGAAGGACCCCGTGGTCTCTGTCCCTGAGCAAGCGCCAGGGCTTTGTGCCTTTGCTCCCGGAGAGCTGCTTCGGCCAAGGAGGGGTCTGAAGCTCCTGCTAGCTCCTGTGGGTCTCCACCAAGGTCTTGTGGAGGGGCAGGAGCACCTCGAGCTCCCCGAGTGGGGCAGCTCCAGTAGCAATAAGGTGAGTTAGAGCCTGGGGGGGAGCTTTGCTGCAGGAAAAACCCTGTTCCCTGGATCTGGGGAGGCCTGGGAGAGGTCCCTCAGCAGGAGCCAGCCTCTCCGGCGCAGTTCTGGGCTCTCTCTCATCTTCAACACTTTCTCATTTGCTTTTGGGGTGACGCTTGTCGCTGCCACCACTCCCAGCAACCCAGCCCGCAGGGGTGTTTACCCAGAAGGGAAACCACAGGCGCACAAAAGCTCGCTGCACGGGGCTCCCCGCAGGTTACATCCACGGGGTGAGGGACCGGGGACCTGCTGGGCATCAGGCACAGCCCCTTTTCTCTCCTCACCCACCTCCAATGACCCACCATGGAGCATCCTCAGGGGCATCTTGCTGCATGGGGAAGAGGGGTCCCTGTGGCATTCTGTGCCCACCTGGCATTAGCCCCACAGGGCATCCCCTTGCCAGCTCCTGGGATCTCTAGGGAGATTTGGGGCTGCTTGCCTTGGTCCCTGGCTGGGATAGGAGATAGGAGAGCAGATAGGAGGCAGCTGATGCATCTCACAGGCTGTTCTGTGCCAGGGGAGCTAAATATAACCCTGAGAGCGGAGGGGGCTGCTTTGTAATGTAAATAGCAAGGGAGCCTGGCCACAGGCAGGGCAGAGGGGGGAGCTGGCAGGGTCTGCTGGGGAGAGGGAGGTGGGCTCAGGGCAGGGGGGGAGCCGTCTCCCTGCCATCTTCCCTCCCCTCTGCCTTCCCCTGGGGCTGGGCTGTGGGTATTTTGTGAAATCCCAGGGCAGAGGGTGGGCAGCCCCTCCGTCCCGGCTGGGGAGGAAGGAAAGGAGAGCTTCCAGGGAGAGAGGGGCCTCCTTCCCCTCGCCTCCTGCCCGCTGGCCCTTTAATCCTGTTAGCCCGGCTGCGTGGAGCCGCCTAATCAAATTCCCATTCATTCCCAGCCCGCTCCGCTCTGACACGGGCATCCGTCTCTGCATCCCTCTGTGCAGCTGGGGGAAGGAGGTGGCTGTCACCCCCTGGCACGGCCGGAAAGTCCTAATGATGTCGGAGGGGGTGACAAGCAAGTGTCTCATCATGCCCTGCCCCTCTCTGGAGGCAGAGACAAGCTCTGCTTGTTGGCCATAGGGCTTGTGAGAGTTCCTTGGGTGGTCCAGCATCAGAAACGGGCTCTGGTGGGCACAGGGGTGGGATGGGGCTGGAGCCAGCACCATGTGGTGGTCCATGAGCAGTGCTGGAGTGGGTTCACTCCACAGTTCTCCTCCTGGATGCTCCATGATGCAAGGCAGTGGGAAACTGGGGATGGGGCTGTGGTGTAACCAGAGATGGAAACATCCCAAGAGGCAGTTATGGAGAAACTGGGAGGCTGTGGGTACAGGCTGGCTGTGCAGGGACATGTCTGCAGCAGTGCCAGGGCAAGGCAGGCTAACGCAGACCAAAGCCCAACATCTTAAACCAGACATGTTCCCTGGGTTAAGCCGACCCAAGACCATGCTTGGACTAGAGGGAATGCTCCTGTCTCCCCTCCTGCTGATGTTTTTCCACCTCAGGTGGGCCAGGCCTGCTCCTGAGGCAGCAGAAGACACCATGAGTCTTCCCTTGCTGCCATCACAGGCGGTGGGGGTGGACGTGGAGTGGGATTCCCCAGGAGCAGGCCAGCAGGGAACTGCACCTCAACGCTCCTGGGTGGGGAGAGCTGGGATCCTTGGACTGAAATGGGACTGGTGGCCATCCCCACCCTCTACCATCCCCTCCCTTATCTGATCCCGGCTCACAATCCCAAGGGGCAGGTAGCCTGCCAGGTTTGGGTAAGCAGGCAGCTTAACCCTTTCCTCACCAGGGGACTGCGCACAGAGAGAACACGGGGTGTACTGGGTCACAAAACCACCCAGCACGGTGACCCCCCATCCCTCTCCAGCCTGCAGAGAAGCCAGCACGGTGGTCCCTTCTGGTCTCCTGACCAAGAACAGCCAGAACTGGGCTTTCTGTGGCATCCCCCAGGGTTTTGCAGCAAGCCCGAGGGACAGGACTCTGGAAGGACACACGGACACAGCACAGAGAGGAGGGTGA